GGAAGAAAATTTTTGTAATCAACCATTCATTATTTGAAAAATAAAACAACGGGCTATAAATAGCCTAGTACATGAGACTCAAGAAATAAAAGATGAAAATGCCCTCGGGGCTTATATACGAAATCCCTTTACTAAAAGGGTACAACGTGAAATAAAATAACATAATATAAAATAAAACAAATACATCACACATGACTAAAACAATACAATCATAAATTAAAAGCACAATGACTCGATTGTGGCCGTAGATCGGCGGCCACGCCTCTGATAAACCTTCCACGAACTGATGTCCCCATTAGTGTATTCTTTAACTTTTTATATATTTCTGGTTTTGTTCATTTTTTAATACTTTGGGAAAATTATATGATGACTATAGGCTTTTGCACACTACTCTTTCATTTAAGATTAGATATGAGTTTTTAACTTTTTAGAAGACAAAGAGTTAGGTACCTTTTGTACTCTCCCTAAGGTTAATCTCGTTAGGTATTTCACCTTTGCTTGTGCGGTACTATCCCTCGCATATGATTTTACTTGTTTATCTTCTCATTAAACTTCCATTTTCATAACATACATCCATATATCCCTAACTTAGCTAATGATGAACTCAAGTGAACTAGCAAACACATAACATGATTAAAATGGAATAATGCTATCACAATTATATTAAAAAATGCTATCGTAATTATATAAAAATATTACTATTCCTATACTACAGATTGGGTATCTCACCTTGTTCTATAGGGTACTTGGATGAATTTGTTCTCCTTCAATTCTACTGCCTCTTTTCCTCTTATAAACAACCTCAAATAAGTTTGTCCTCTTTCAAAGCACTTCCCGTACCTCTCTTTCATCTTCTTCCCTTCCTTTCCTTCCCTTTTTTCCTTCTCTACTTTCCGATTTCAGCAATCAGACGCAGCAGCCCTTCCTGGTTCTCTTCCTGCCTGCAGCTTGCTTCCCCAGCTTCTCTGTTCGCATGCGGCCTGCTTCGGACTCTAGATAAATATGTGAGGGGAATGGAATGGGAAGTGCTTAATCGTGCTTAATATACTAATTATTTAATAACACTTAGGCTTCGTTTGATTCGATTTATGCTTACATAAAAAGGAGTTTTAGAAAAGGAGGTTGAGAAAAAGTCGTTCAATAAAATGGAGTTTCAAAAATGCGCAGAAGCTCATTAAGGAATTTAAGAACAAGTTGGCAATGTAATTCCACTCAATAGCTTATTGTAATAACAAGGCAATTCAATAAAGAATCTTAGTTTTCCACTTGCTTAGGAGAAGAAGAACATGTAGATTAACCAAACCTAGTAGATAAACCAAAAATAGTAGCAATACTAAGAGCTATTAACCAACAATCCACAATTTAATAATGAGAGTTTTCACCTCGGGGATTGATCACTCAACTACACTAGGCTTTGGCGAGAGAAGATTTTGCACGCTGGAATCGAGATCACCACTAGGAAGACGATGTCGGAGGTCTTTGTCCATAGGAAAGTAGTCAAAGTTGGTGGAGGTGGCGGATGTCCCACGATGATCCAACGGCTTGGTGGATGATGCTCTTCGATCGACAACGCAAGTTGATATCGGATGCAGTCAATATGTCCTTCCACGGTCTCGTCGTGTCCAAGTTGTACGTCAAAGAACGGGGCTGCGAGAATGTTCGTCCGTCCTCGTTCGTCGAAGAAGGAATTGATCAAAATCTGAAATTAATTTCAGATTTTGGTTAGTTTTGGAGGGAATTGATTTGAATTTAAATTTCAAATCTATCGTGATTAAGGCCTTGAATGGGGAGTTAATGAGAGGGGCACAATAAGGGGGCCGGCGGCTTGTAGAGGGAGGGAAAGGGAGGTTATGAAATTTGAAATCCAAATCTATCGCAATTAATACATTGAATTAGCATTGATTGGCTTCCCCCATGCATGGCCGGCGGCATTCAAGGAGAGGGAGGGAATTGTGGAGGTGATTTAATTTTTTTTATTCCTTGATTGGATTCCAATTAATGAGATTGAGGAGAGAGAGGGTGGCCGGCCCTATAGGGAGGAATTTGAGGAGATTTAATTACTTGGATTGTGGGCCCAAGTAATTAAATAAATTAGAATAGGAAATCTGAAATAAATTTCAGATTTGAGAGGCTTTAATGGTTGCATAATTAGTGTAGGAAAATTAGGAGAGAATTAAATCCAAATCAATTTGAATTTGAATTTTGAAATCCCTCCAAATTTGATCACCTAAAATAGGAAAGTAATCAATGCAATCAATGGGGGGATTAATGGTTGGTGGTATGTGGCCGGCGGTATGGGGATGAGGAGGTGGTGCGGTGGTGGGGCTAGGGAGGTGGCCAAGGGGCGGCGGGAGAAGCTGGGTTGGGCGGCGGTGAGAGCAGGGAGCCGGCGGGATGTGGGGGAGGGAGAGGGTTTGAATGTAGAGGTTAACGGCAAGGGCAAGGGCAAGGGGAAGGGGTCGGGTGGCTGACCGGCCAAGTGGTGGGGTGGTGTGGAAAGATCCGGCGGCTAGGGGAGAGGAAAAGAAGAAGAAAATAGGTAGAAAACCAAGAGCTCCACCAAGGGGCTGTTGGGTATTGCTTTGAACCTCTCCTAGGCTACTCCACACTAGAGAACTCACAAAGAGAACTCTAGAACTCACAAAGAGATCCAAAATCAAAGTTGAAATTTTTCATATCAATAATCATCCTCCCATATTACAATAGCAAGGACCTATATATAGGTCTCAACATAAAGAAGAAGCAAAGACCAAATTGCCCTCGGGGCTACATCATGACTCAACTTATAGTAGGGGTACAATAGGGATACATAAAGAAACTAAAAATGCATAAAAAAAAAACTCTGAATCGATGTCCTCATCACATGGCCTCTTATACTTTTCTTCATGAACCCTTTCTACCTTTCTACTTTGAAAATTTTGTTTAACTTAGTGAATGAAAATTCAGGTTTCTTCTTAAGTCTTAGGGATTTAATATTTTGGCTTAGTCCAAGAAAACTTTGTCAGCTCACGAGATTGACAGTTGCACATTGTCCATATGAAATTTTTTGAACTTGTTTTCATTGGAAACTACTGGCACCGTCTTCGAAGATTTGGGCTAACAATATAATACCGTGTCTTTTGACATGCTTTCTTGATAGCTTTCTTTTTGCTGAAGAAGCTTTATCATTATGTCTTCCTGGCGTAGAAGGATTCACTAGAAGTGTTGCAACTTTGGTTGTCAATGGGGTACCTTTTTGGTTAGAAATAATTCTGTCTTTTAGGTGTTGTAACAGGAGTCATTTTATCAAATACTAATGCTCTCTTATGTTAAGCCTCCATTGTAGCGATTGTTGGAGTCTCAATTGGCTTAAACCTTGGTTCATTTGGAATTATTATATTTTACCTCCTTTAGGTCAGTAGGGGAATGTGGTGAGCAAGAACTTAATTAAGTTGGGTTGCAAATTTCCTGGTTTGGATTCGAGCATATACGGTTTCATTATGAATAGTAATCTCTTACGCAGCAGTATTAATAACAATGAATGGCTCGAAGGAGCCTAATTGGATGGTGGTTCTAGTTACTTCAATATTTACCATGGTTTAAAATTGCGCAATAAGAGAGGCGTGCCTCAGCGCAATTTCGTCCATTTAAATCTCAAAGCCTACGCAATGATTTCAAGATTTGAGGCGTACGCCTCAAGTTTACTGAGGCGCGCCTCGCCTCACGGTTGAGAGGCGTCCGCCTCTAAAAATTATGCTCGGTACTGAGCAGTACATGCTCGGTACTGAGCAGTACATGCTCGGTACTGAGCAGTACATGCTCGGTACTGAGCAGTATATGCTCGGTACTGAGCAGTACATGATCAGTACCACTAGGTGCATGCTCGGTACCGAGCCAGTACCGCTCGGTACCGCTCAAAATAACTCTTACAATAAAATTTTGTTCCGTACTGCTCAAAACAACTCTTATATGTTAATGAAAAGAATACTGTGATTTGGGAAAGATGGAGTTTGAGTTGAACTATATTTCATGTTGTTTTATTATTGGGATATTTTGATTTCACTTCATATCTTGTGCATTTTCATGTTTTATATATTATTTACTCATTACTATATACAAAATTTATTATTTTCTGTTTACGCAATTTTTTGATTTTGAGGCTTACGCCTCAAAACGCCTTGAGGCTTACGCCTCTCCTCACGAATGAAAAATGCCTCAATACCCGAATACACAATTTTAAACATTGATATTTACAATAACATTTGACAAACATATACCAGCTCCAATACCCAAGCATTGATATTTACAATAACATTTGGCAAACATATACCAGCTCCAATACCCAAGCATACGGTAAATGGCGTTGTTTAAAAGTCCATTTTACTTAATTTAGAAATGGAGGTTAATAATCAAATTTTTATTGGTATTGCTTTTAATCACATTCAATAATCACATTTCAAATGGTATAAATTACCAACATCATGTCACAATAAACAGGACATTAAGCCTTTAACTATATCTTGCAAAATGGAACTTAGAATTTGTAATTAATTATAATCTTGCTTATGGTAATTTACCTATGAAAATAGGTCTTTTGACATCTTTCATGTTTGCTAATTTTAAACGTTTTTTCTTTGATATTCTCACTTTTCTAGTTCATGCTTCATGGAGATCAAATTATCAGAACTGGGTTTTTTTTCTTCCATTTTGTCTTGTCATTTGCTTCACATAGTTTCTTGTGCTTTTAATTGATGGAGGTTTCTCCAATCTATGAATTTTTAAATATTCTTCATGATGCGTTTGTAATTTTATTTAAAGCAAACAACTTTAGCTGCTTGGCATTCATACAACTCTTTCCATTTGGACTGAGTTGTTTCATTTGTTAGGGGCTTGCAACAGCTTGAAGTTGTGTGCTATACCTGTAATTTAGTCATTGATTTAGTTCTTGTTATTCTTTGTTTTTTTTATCTCTCGTTAGTTTTGATCTATTCTGTTACATAGTGAAGCCATTTTTCTTGCAGTGTGCACATTCAGGAGTTTATCTTTTAGTTTTGCGTGTAGCTCAAATGTCTCATTCAAATGGGCATGATGAAGTAAACCTTATTCTTAGCCTACTTCATAGGCTGGTTTCATCTAATGCGGTGAGTTGCTTTTCAAGATTCTTATTTGCCTTTATACATTGCTTTATTTTTTAGATTTAAAGGTTTATGAATTCATTTTTTGTTATAAGCATTATTTTTATTTGGTACTGTGGTATTGAATGTCCTGCTCTTCTTGAATTTTATTTTATTTTTAATTGGCCTCCACCATGTGGATGATTTTTTGAAGTTCTTAGTCTTTGCTAGATTTGGTAGTTAATTATTTCGCTCGATGCAATTGCTAATTATGTTTAGGAGGGGATATTCTTTTTAGGTATGAACACTTTTTCCTGAACAAGTTGCCCTCCACTACAGCTGGTTTAGTTTTCTTTAAGTGTGTATTATTGGGTACAATATAATTTGCCGGTTCAAGTTGGTTAAGAATGTGAATCGTAGTCTGGTGACGGCACACCTTTGCCTTGATCATTTCTAGGTCATTCCACATTCTCTTTGTTTACTGCATAGTCTTACAACCTCAATTTTAGCAGAAAGAAAGCTTGCTTGGATGAGATCTGACAACAGGCAACACGTGAAGTTTTTATATTTTCTAAGGTTGAAACTGTATGCTACCCTACATGAAGAGTTTGCATGCTGAAGCAAATTGGATGTCCTAGTTTTGGGTTTCTTTGGTCATGGAAATGCAGTAGATTGGTAGTCCACGAAGTGGTTGTAATAATGCATTAATCAAGAATCTTGTTTTAGTTAGTCTTCATATTCTTACTTTTCCAGTTCATATTCTGGTGGAGTTAAGGTTTTCACTAAGCGTACTGGCAGCGCTGCTGCTGGTCTATATTTAGAAGAGGTGTTGTCCTGATGACATGCTTGCAAGGTTGTTATTTCATGCCGGGATCTATTGAGATTATTACTTATGTTAGCGCCTAAGTGACGGCGTTTTTAAAAATTGAGGTTGATCTGCTTTTCCAATTGCTTTTACTTGTTCGCTGCAGGAACTGTATTCTTTTTATAGTTTAATACTTGTAATAGAAATTTTTAAATTTTTTGCCTTTTTGTTCTTGCAGGCTCTGTGTTTTAATTTATTGCATTTGGATGAATCCCTGTATACCAAAGCAGCTCGAAATAATGGGCTTATTGAACAAAATCTTTGGTATGTGGTGGAATTAGCTTTCAGTTTTGATTTTTTATTACGGTTTCATATTTCTCATGTCTTTCTTTGCTTTAGCATTGATGTAGTGAGGTTTATCAGCTCTTTGACTGTTCATTTTATTGAGGATGGTGGACATGGAAGTAATATTGCAATATGCCTCAATATTTTGGCGCAAATGTTGCAGTGGTAGGTTACAACTATTCTCTACACTATTTAAATAAAGCAAGTACAATAAACGCAACTGGCTTGACACTCACCCTCATTACCACCTGAATCAAAATTTTGACGGTTCTGTCGTTATATCATTTGTAGAAAAGTTGATTTCTTATCTTCCTTAAATAGAAAGTTTACTCCATTTTGCAGTTTGCTCTGCACATGTAAAATGTGTCGTCTTTTTCTTAGTTTCACAAGAAATATTTGAATTTGCATCCTTGAGAGATGGTATTTTTATGTATGTCTCTTTGTAAATTTAAAGATTTGAAATGACTAATTATTTATTTATTTTATTAATGTATTTTTTGTGGTTGTCCAAAGAAAATTTAAAGTTTACTTGGAAATTTCAAGCTTCAATTGGAACTGATGTTGAGCTAATTATATTTTTGGGGAATGTTTAAGATATATTGACTCGGTGCCAAATGTTGGCCATTAAAAGAGAAGCATAATACTAAGTTAAGTGTTGCAGAGATGAGGATGCTCAGGTGGATGAGTGGCTTTACGCTTAGAGATAGGATACGAAATGAGCATATTATTGAAAAGGTTGGAGTAGCGTGGAAGATAAGATTAGAGAGAGTCTCCTTAGATGGTTTGGTCATATAAAACGACAGCCTTCCGATGACACGATTAGGAAAGTAGATGTATTAGATTTGACTTATGTTACGATAGGTAGAGATGACCTAAAAATACTTGGTTAGAGATTATTAGAAATGATCTTTCCTTATTAGATTTAAACAAGAATTTGACTTTTAACATGACACAATGGAGAAAAAGGATTCATGTAGCCGACCCCATATAGTGGGACAAAGGCTTAATGTTGTTGTTGTTCTCGTGCTAATCTAGGTTTGCTAAATGGGCAAACCCCTATAGCCATACCTGGCCCTTTCATGAATATAGTGGGCTGGCTGGTTGATCTAACTTGCAAGCACTCTTATTGCTATGATAGTATTTTGATGTCGGGAAAGGTGGTTTTAAAACATTATACTTTGGTTGGCAGCATGATTGTTATTACATAGCAGATCCTTGTGTTAATATATTAATACTGAAAATGATCGAAATAGTCCCTTGACTCTTTATGAAGGACCAAAATGGTCCCCAACTAAGCTTCTGCCACCATAGGCTAGCTTACATCAGGACCACCAGCTACTCCCTTCCATCTCCGCCTTCATTACTGCCTCCAACCTGCTTCTCTGCCTACCATAAAAGCTAGCCAACAGCTCCTCTTGGTTCTTGGAATCCACTATGTCTTCCATACATGGCTACAACTATTACTTCGCCTTTCTCCTACCAGCTAATCCTTCCATACAAGGCTGCAACTACTACTTTTCCTATCTACTTCCATTTGCTCCTACCATACAGGGTTGCCAACTTCTTCTCCCCCGCCATACAAGATCCTTGCCATATGCTGTTCGCTAACTTATTGAGGAATTAGATTATTTCCTGATTCATTATTACGTGTGTCAATATTTGACCTGATTTGGATCTGACCCAAAAAATCCTGGTTTCGATTCAACATATTTGGTAAACTTGTCTGGTTTGTGTTCAATACTTCAATATCCCGACCTATTTTTAAAACCGGGTTTGGACCCGGATTGACCCGAAAATCTGAAATTGACTAGGATTGAATCATTATAAATAATTATGTTAATTTCATTCCTTTTTCCCTCTTCATTAGATGTATTATGGTCTAATTTTGCTCCTAGTATTTCTTTTTATTCTAGACTTTTAACTTCGGCTATAAATATTTTATCACTTTTTATGATGCACTGACACTTCTCCTCAAAGAGGCGTGCAGTGTCCGACACGACAGTCCTCCGATACATGTTGAACACGCCGAAAACGTGTCCAATTAAAAAACTATTAAAGATAAATTGGACACACGTGTCCGACACACGTATCCTAAATACAACAACAACAACATCAAGCCTTTATCCCACTATGTGGGGTCGGCTACATGAATCCTTTTTCTCCATTGTGTCCTATTAAAAGTCAAATTCTCGTTTAAATCTAATAAAGAAAGGTCATTCCTAATATTTTCTAACCAAGTCTTTTTAGGTCTACCCCTACCTTTCTTAAAATAAGTCAAATCTAATACCTCTACTCTCCTAACCGGGTCATCGGAAGGCCGCCGTTTTATGTGTCCAAACCATCTAAGGCGACTCTCTCTAATCTTATCTTCTACTGGAGCTACTCCAACCTTTTCACGTATATGCTCTTTTCGTATCTTATCTCTAAGGGTAAAGCCACTCATCCACCTGAGCATCCTCATCTCTGCCACACTTAACTTAGTATTATGCTTCTCTTTTAATGGCCAACATTCGGATGACCAACATTCGGCACCATAAAGCATTGCAGGCCTCACATGTATCCTAAATATTTTATGAATTTTTTAAATATAATTTCTTGTATTTAAAATTTTTACTTATTTAAAATATAAAAAAATATGTTTCTTATTTCTTATCTACAATATCAAATCAATCGTCCGCACTTGATACCCCATTCATCGAATATTTTTATTTTCATTTCTCTTTGGCGGGTTACTGCTTTGATTTCACAACAATGCTCGATATCATCTGAACATCGACGTCTGACATCGTTACAACATCAACATTTCAAAACGATCACCATATCAAAGTCTGACGATGTCTTTATATTGATGCTCGATGCTAGCAATTTTTACATCGACAACTTGACATCTCATTTTACTCCAACGCCTTCTCAACATCGACAACCAACACTCTCTCAACATTGACGATAAACGCCCTTTAACATTGACGATCAATATTTACTGCATAACATCATTGCCCGAGTCTCGACAGCATCGTCATTTCCTTTCTCGATAATTGATAAACGACATCGACGTCCGACTCATGACATCCTAATGTTAATCATTTTAAGCTTAAATTTTAGTTAAATAACTTAATATTTCTAAATTATTTTAAAATTATATTTATTCAATTTTATATACTATTTTTAAAATATAAAAAACTATAATACCGTGTCCGTATCCTATATTTTCAATAATTGACGTGTCCCGTGTCTATGTCGTGTCGTGTCCGTTTTTCCATGTCCGTGTCTGTGCATCATAGATCACTTCTCTCTATTGAAATAAGAAAATATATTGTATTCATCTCTCATATTTCTCAACATGGTATTAGAACCACATTATTCGACATACTCACAGAATTTTAGGTCTTCACTATCCTTCCTTTTAGGCTTGTTCTTGATTAAACCAAGATAATGGTTAAACTAGAGAGGCCTTAGAATGATGATCATCCTTTGGTGTTGCCTCCTCCCATGAATCGAGATCCACTGGCATCACTTGTATTCAAAAAGCCTTCTCTAAGTTGCTTCTTATCCAATGTCAACCAAAATCTTCTAGACCTAAAAATCATCATCAGTGTTTTTGCATAAATAGGTATGATCTTGACTGCTTGAAATGGAATTCCACTATCCTGGAAATCCGCTATCCTAAGTTGTGAACTTTGGATTCTCTGATCATATTATAGGGGATGGCTATGTATGTCAAATTCATCCTTGTTTAAAGAATTACACAATCAAAATGATCGAGAGTTCAACATTGTAAGTAACTGGCTTGGAGATTATCAATGTCACTAGCTCTCTAGTTTTTAATTTAGTTCTTATGGTTCCTAAGTTTTCATGTAACTTGTTATCAATTAATAAAATTACCAAGGTTAGGAACTATACTATTAATTTTCCTCCTACTTTCGAATTCAAGGATAGAGGCCTAGGAAGAATAATTCGCAAGAAGGAAAATACTAGCCTCCTACCTCCTAATTTATGAAGGGAATCTTGAAAGGAAAAAGAAAATGTTCAATATTTATCATCTTTAATGAAAGCACAATCTTGGTTGTGGCTTTCTTGCCTTGGTCTTCCAAATTTCAAACGAGATTCTTATCCTTATAGAACATACCAAACTTTTTGTAACTATCCATAGTGACATTTATGGCCCATCTTTGGTGATAAATATATCTGGTGCTAGGTAGTTTATATCTTTTATTGATAGTCAAATTATAACCACTCGTGATTTTCCTTATGAAAGACAAATCTGCAATCAGTTCCAATTTCCAAAATTTTTTACTAAATTAAAAGCCAATTCAAAACTCAAGTTCAAGTCTTTAGTACTAATAACGAGAAATAATGTTTTTGTTTCATTCTTGGCAAATATATCCTCTGATAACAATATGCTCACTAAAAAATATGTGACGCTTGTAAAATGCATTTGCAAGTTAATCAGCTGTTTAGTCATAAATGCATAATCAAAATGCCCAACTGTTTTGTGCAAACTCCAATGGTTCCTCCACAATAACATACTAAAGTACCCATTGTTAATAAACATAACATCTCAAAATTTCAATAATTAGTTTGGGGATCAATCAGTCTATTACAACCTGGCTGTCCGAGGTGCTCAACACTGAGGCGAGTAATTTGACTCATGTGATGCATTTTTTTTGTACGTACTCCCTATTAGTAGTGCTGCTACCTAGTAGGATAAAGCATGTTGCCTTGAAGCAACTCTTTCACCTAACTTCCACCTTGCTGAAGACTAGCTTATATCCTCAAAGAGAATATCCTAATATTTCCATCATCAACATCCACACCAACAAACTCGCAAGTTCAGAAATCCTCAAAACTTAATAACTTGTGATGCATGCACTCAACAAGTCAAAAAAAAAAAAAAAAAAAAAAAAAAAAAAAAAAAAAAAAAAAAAAAAAAAAGTGTAATGGAAATTTGGCATCACTATTATTTGATGATCTCTTAGATCTATCCCTTCTCCTTGCTGGAGTGTTGCTTTCATCTTTAAAATTAAATGAAATCTCGTCATAGTCACAGGTCAAATGTAAACATACAGCCATCCCTTGTAAAAGTACATATAAGCATGCTATGCAATTGAACTCACAGTCATATGATTATTGTGTGAGTGTTCTAATTATCTTGTTGAAAACTAGCTTGCCTATGCAATTCAAATATCGATAGTTAGGTCTTAGAATTGTCAATGTGTTCAAGTTGATCATAAGTGTATATATTTTTAGTTTCTTGATCATCCAAAAATCTAGTCTACATTTGATTTATCAAAACCTAAGATTTAGACACAAAAATTACGATTATTCATAGGCACTTTCCCTTAAATAAATGTAGCCTTGAAACAAAGTTAAAGTTTCAAAGTTTCCTACAACTAGCTTTTTATTAGGTGAATTACCTAATAATTTGGGCTATTTAATTTGAATTTTGTCTGACAATTAGGTGTTTTATTTTATACAATTTTTTTAACTAAACTTCAATATATAAATTGTGGTCCTCAATAGCTGTTAAAAAAGAAAGGATTCATTAAGCTAACCCAAAGTAGTTGAGACGAAGATGATGTTGTTGATGTTAACTTATTTTTTGTGTTATGTGAGTTAATTGTTATCAAAAAGTGCCTTTTTTTGGAAGAGGCCGACTAATTATGTTTGTTTTTCTATTGCAGTGCACCTTCTCACGTAATTGATATGGTGTTGAGTTCAAATATATTTGGTACAACATATGTTGTGTCACCAAGGTGAATGATTTGTTTAGCCTTTAAGTTTTAAGAAATTCATCAATGAAGTCATATTGAATCATGTTCTGCTAAAAGTTGTGCCCATGTCTTTTCATACTCTATTTTGAGCCTATAGGAGTCCGTTGCTTCAAATTATATTAGGTAATCGTGTGTTTTCAACTTAATTTTTATTTCAATGGCACCATTAAAATTTCCTATTGCTGACCCCACATAATATGGTAAAGGTTTGATATTGTTGTTGTTGTCACCATTAAAATTTCAACTGTATCGATGGCTTTGGTTTTGTTTTTCTTTTTGTCTAAGTAGTTCAAAAATGAAAATAAGTCATTCTAGATGTAATTTTGAGAAATTCAAAATTAGAACTATGATTTAGAATGGAAAGGGATTATGTCATTTCACGACCTTATTACTAAATAAGATAATAAACTCTTAGTAATAATATGATATTAACTTGTAAATTAAAGCACACATGCTACTTTTGTATTTTTTGTTTGATGGAAGATTCAAAACGTTATTATACTTAAATTACAATTGGCATGTAACATTATGATGAAAGATCAGGTAATGAAGTCAATAAACATAGAATTTGTAGGATAATGCTTAGCAATTTGACAGTACTCTGTCTGTTTACTTCTTTTTTTGTCTGGATTCTAACCATTAAAAAAGTGCTTGGCATGTAATCCTAATGGGCTGTAGAGTACAAAATGCATGCAAGTTTTGGATAAAATTCTAATTGTGTTTCGACGACTACTTAAGTATTTTGATGGAATTTTGATTGAAACTCTATCAAACTTTTCAATTTTATTCTAGAACTTTTGAAATAACCTAATCTTAAAAAATTATCCTGTTTTGATTGAAACCACCAATGAAATTAATCTTAAGCTACTGGAGCTGAAAATCTTGCTTGAAACATATTGCATATTCTTCATTTAAGGTAATTGGTAATAAAACATTCTTACGTCCTTCTAATGCTTTTTTATGAGGAAGAACCTCGAAAGATTTCCTATTCACTTGTGGAATAGATTTTAAATGTTATTTCTTGTGATTGTAATTATTATATCAAACAAAGTCCGATTATTTCCATATTTTATTTTGCATTTAATATCCTTTTGTTACAAACAAAATTTTGTTAAATGGATTTTAATATTTTTAAAATAATTGATCCCTTTTATAGGAAGGTGATTTTGCTTATTGACGGTGTCTATTACCGTAATCAGCAAGCCATAAACTGCATGCTAATCTTTATTTAATTAGGAATAGCCTATTATAGTCTTTGTACTCTAATCATGATTTGAGGCCACAATCAAGAAAAATATTCATTTAATAGCCATCTTGAATGGGTCGTCATGGGCTTCATGTCAAGCGTAACTGATCCCTCCTTTCTTGTACGTTGTTTCTGCTTGTGATTATGGATTTCCACTTACCAATGTATGCCTGCCAAAGGCACTTTACCTGCAATACCTTTGGATTTACAATTTCTTGCTTTCATTTCACTTTAAACAAATATTAATGGATTGCTATTTCAATAGGATAGTGCATAGAGGCTTAAAATGACAAATTTCCAAAACATTGGTCAGATTAGGAAAAATTGTCGTGCAGGAACCAGGAAATTTCTTCATTTTGAGGAGTTAATATTAATTTAACAATAATTGTGTGAGTACATTGAAACTTGTGTTTATGTGTTGAAGTAAGCCTTCCAATATTTAATTCAATCGTAATTGTTGAACTATTCCCTGCAATGTTATGTAGGTATTTGTGTATGTCCTGATTGCCTATCTTCAATGAGAATTTGCACTCGAGTATTTGAATTTTTTACTGCCATTTTGCTCTTCTTAATAATTCTGTTTTCTATCAGTGATGCATGGCTACTATCTGGTGGACTTTCTGAAATGCTTTTAGTTGGCCATTCGGAGGAAAGTGGATGCTTTTTGTTGACAGCATCAGGTATGCATCCGCTTAATAAACAAAATAAGATCTTTGTCGTTCCTTGTCATATGTATGCTTGAAAGTTAGGTCTTTTTCTTAGGTTGAAATTAATCTGCTTCTTAATATATATTTTCTTTTCTTCTGCTGTTTAATGCTGGCGCAAATTTTCCTTCATCAATCTGTTTTTTTTTTCTTGTTCTTTTTTCTCCATAACCTTTTGTTTACCTTCTGTTTTGTTTTTCTGTTGCCTATAGCATAGTCTCTATGTTACTTCCGAAGCTATTTCTGACTTTTTAATTCTGAATCCTAAGTTGATTCTCATGATCCGTCTGTGCTTTACTTATTCAGGCTGTCTTATCGGGACTGACCCAAAAAAACAAAAGCCTTGCTGCTTCTGACAGCACAAGCAAGAAAACCTTTTTTTTCCCCTTCAATATTACAGTAAAAGTTGGAAGATCTAATTGCAATATGAATATTTGGCTAACGTGATAATGGACAAATTTATTTGTATCGTGTGAACCTTTGATTAGATATTTCCTGGTTTTGTTTGGATATGTATTTGTCACCGAATTTTATTTTGAATTAAGAATGTAATGTAGTTCCTTTTCTTTTGCTGTCCGGGGTAAAGCGACTTTCCATAACAAATAGAGATAAAGGGTCCATATGATTTTTTTGCAAATCTTTAGCTTTGTTCTGTCATAAATTTTTTTTTTTTTAATTTTATTTCAGCACGTCTTTTATAGAAGTTGAATATAACTTTTGTTATTGTTCCTTTGCAGTGCTTGATCTAACCGTCCATCTTATTGAGAAAGGCACGGGGGATACAGTAGTTTGTGCACTTGCTGTATTTTCTCTGCGATACTTCTTTGTTAGCCACATGCATATGATGTACAAACTGAAGTATGGGCAGTGGAAAGTAATTTTGAAGGTATGGTTCAAGGTTGTGGTCGCTAGTTGATTCCAGAGCTCAACTTTTTTCACTTGTGCTTGTTCTTTAAATGACAATATGTACTTTCTTTCATGAAAAAATGGCCATTTCCTCCCTGAAGTTTGCTTTATACTAATGTGCGCTCCGAAAATTCGTGCGCCAGCCTACGCTCTTTTGAGGGAGTTCTAACGAATTAGGTTCCGTGATAAAATTTCAGAAGGCAGATTGAGTTTGAAATAAGAGACTACCGAGAGATTTCGCCCTCATTTTGTGAGGACTTTATGATCTGAGTTATGATTTCTTATATGCGCAAGCCCCTATAGTTTGTTACCCCTCCCGATAATGAGGGAGAACTTTCAATTAAGGCTAGTCCTCAAATGAATACATTTTTCCCGTAGATATGTCATATCCTGCGTATAGTAGCACAATTCTTATCTGGATTGGAAGATGCAATCATGCAGCTCTTGTTCCTCTAGGATTGAAGATTATACTGTATTAGTGGAGAGAGCAAAAACGGTAGAAATGGACATCCAAAATAACTATAGAAGATGTGAGTTTTTGAAGAGGAAGAGTGGCTTTGTTATGAGAGCTTCTCAGGATTCACCCAACAAATCCATTTCACAATATGAGAAATTTAATTGGAAGAAGGCAAAGCCCAGTAGTAGTGGTAGTCAGATGAGCATGAACAATTGCAACAAGTGGGAAAGCAAACAAGGAAGAATTTCTATCTGGTACAAGCACTTGTTTTTGGTGTCATCAATCAGGTCATATAGCTTAAAAATGCTCTACTTTGGAGCAAAGACCAGAAGGAGAATCAATGATGAATATTGGACCTCAAAAAAATGTCAGAAGACGAAGAGTGATAGAATTAGTTGCTTATACTTCAGGATCAAGTCAAGGTCAATAAAATACTCTGCTTAGAGTCTATGCACTGTCTCAGCAGGATGCCAAGGACTCACCTGAAGTGATTACATATATGTTTTTATTTAATTCATAAGAATTTTGTTAATTACATAATTAATTAAGTAATATAAATAAGCAAATAATATGAAAATTGTTAAAGAAATAATATATGTATATGTTAATTCCTATGAAAATTTCACTTGAATATGCTACCATTATATGAATTTGATATGATATTGGAATGGATTGGTTATCAAATCATTTTGTGATTATAGAATGCAACAAGAAGATTGTAAGATTTAAATTCCCTGGAGAAAAAAGAATGTAAATTTTATGGAGATGGAGGAATTTCTTCAATAATAATAACATATATGAAAGCTTGCAATTTTGTATCCAAAGAGTGTTAGTGTTTTCCTGCTCAAGTAAATGATACAAATAAGGAAGTTAAAGAGTTGAAGGATATATCTAGAGTCAAAAAATATCCAGAGGTGTTTCTGGATGATTTGCCAGGATTATTATAAGAAAGAGAGATAGATTTCACTATTAATTTGATTTGGGGTTCAGAATCAGTGTCAAAAACACCCTGCAAGACGACAGTTAATGAATTATAAGAGTTAAAAAGTTAATTACGAAAGTTGTTAGATAAATGGTTTATCAGGCCAAGTTCCTCGCCATGGGGAGCTCCAATATTGTTAGTAAAAAAGAAAGATGGGAGCTTTAAAATATGCATTGATTATAGAGAATTGAATTAGCTCACTGTTAAAAATAAATATCCATTTCCCATAACTGATGACTTATTTGATCAACCTCTAAGATTGATTTGCTTTTTTAGTATCTGATGCAAGCAAAAAAAAGCAAAAAATTAGGCCAACCCTAATTTTTTGCTAGAAATGACATTTCCTTACTAGGATAAAGAAAATACATAAAGACACTTTTGAAATAAAAAAAACAACAACTTTATATCATATAAAACGACCATACAACAAAAGATACTTACAAACGACTCAAACAAAACACCTAAAGTTGCATTCATCCATTGAGAGAAGAATGATACAAGTGGGGTGGATTCTTGCGTATAGAATAAGAGGTTAGAAGCCAAGACGAAACATAGGAGAAGCTCGCAAGCATTCCAAGAAGAAGAGAAGAGAGAAATGGAACAAGCTCGCAAGCTTTTCCAACAAAAAACCCTCAGGCTTTCTATTCCAAAAATCACATTATAACACTCTTTTTATTCCAAAACATCTACTATTTATAGACCAAAAGAGGGCAGCTAAACAGCCCCTTAAAGCATGAATTAAACCTATTAGATTTAGGGAAATGAAAGGCCAACAGCCACCAAACAGCAGCCCCAAACAAGCTCAGGAAACAAGGGAAAAAAGGCCACGGGAAACCAAGCAGGCAGCCACGGGAAACCTAGCCATCAAGGGAACCGAGGAGCCAGCACAGAGAACAAAGGGCCATGGCACGGGATGTGAAAGCTGTTTTTCTTCTAGGATCGTCCAGGATGAAGTTGGATCGTCCTGGGACGATCGGTATAGGTTTGTACAGGTTTTGGGGACAGAGAAGTTCGTCCCAGGATGAAATGGGGTTCGTCCGTACGAAATTTTTTCAGAGAGCAACTCGTCCAGGTACGATAACTATTTCGTCTGAACGAATTTTATCCAGAGGGTAAATCGTCCAGGGACGATTTGGGATCGTCCGGGACGATCTGGTTGGATATATATGAAAATGAGATCTTTTTGAAGAGAGAGAAAAGCCCAGGAGAGAAAACTGAAAGAAAAAGAAGAAAGTGTTTTTTGGACGACCTCTGTCCGTAGCTGTAGTTGAGAAAGTTGACCGACTCGAGGTAAGGCACATTCCACCTTTCTCAATTTTCAGAAACGAGAATTTTGATGACTTTTCTGTTTCGAATTTTGGTTTCGTTAGTGAAATTCTGTTATTATTTTGTACTGATAAAAGTTTTACTGCATAACTTTTGGTATGTTTCTGAGATGATAATTGTGCACGTTTTGAGTATTTTCTGGAAGATTTTTACCGGATAGTTTGAATTTTACGGGGTTTTGATCGAATAACAATTTATCTGGATGTCTGAAATTATTACTTCAGTACAATAAAAGTCTTATAATGATGTTTGACATTATCTATGGTAATTTGATAAATTTCTGAATCTGAAAATTTTGTGTAAATTCTGTATATTGCCGTTATGTCGCTGACGATTTTCTGACGAAATCTGATTTTCTGAATTGAATGTTATGATGTGATGTGCTATCAGAAGGGAGTTATAAGGGGTCAGATTCTGTCTGTGTTAGTAAAATCTGAAAATAAGTTCTGTTTTGAAAATTCTGTATATTTATTTTGTTCTGCTGCTTCAAACACAAAGGGAGACAGGGGCCATAATCCGTTGAGATTCTATCAGTTTTAGGGAAGGGAGACATAAGGGGTCAGAATTCGTTGAGATTCTGTTAGTGTCAGGGAAGGGAGGCATAATGGGCCAGAATCCGTAGAGATTATGTCAGGATCAGGGAATCTGTTATATGATATGTGATATGTGATATGTGATGTGTGATATCTGAAATGTGATTTTAGCTGATTTGAATTCTAATTGTACGATCTGATCTATTCTTTGATTTGAAAGTTTTATAGGTTTTATAAGATTTGTTCTGCACTCTGATTTGAATTCATGTACCTGTGATTTGATTTCTATTTGATCAAGTATCTGTTCTATCGGTTATACGATTTCTGTACGACTATTTGAATTATGTACGGCTCTTTGAATAACTGCTTATGATGTGTTTTCTGATGTGAATTTCTGGAGATTTTGATTGGTGAGTGTAGTCTTGCTGAGCTGTTAGCTCATCCTTGTTTTCTGCGTGATTTTCAGGTTCTGGGAAAGGGAAGAATGTATTGGATTAGCCGTTCAGTGTCTTATCAATGATTAGGTATTTTTGTACTTTTGATTTTTGTACAGTCATGATTTTTCTGTTCTGTTATTTCTGTCTGTAGCCATGCACTATATTGTATATGATTATTTTGATGAAAGGAAGAATAAAATAGTGGATGCATTTCTTTTAATGTATTGGAAGTTTATAGCAGCTCTGTGTTTCTGTTTGTTTGAATATCTGGAAGAAAGTCTGAAACAAATTCCAAAACTAGATCTTGGATTTTCAACATTTATCGCGACCTGACGCGAAGGGACTCGTTCCGGTCGGGTTGGGTCGTGACAATATTTTAGTGGTATCAGAGCAATGGTTTTGGAATTTGGATTGTAAGACAGGGCTATAGGAATTGATCTATAAGTCTGTTGGGGGGTAGTTCTGGTTTGTCTGGATTTTTATTATGTTGTTTTGTGCATAGTTTTCTGTGTGATTATGGATTTGCCAGACCCAGATATGATTGATGGGCAGAGTGCTAGTCAGGCAGCTCCTGTGAACAGTACTGCCCCAGTGGTTGGTTCTGATACAATTTCTCAGTTTGCTACATTGGTTGCTCAGATGATGAGCGAGACACAGAATATTGCCTCTACTGTTAGATCTGAAGATGTAGATAGACATTTACAGATGTTTCTGAGATTGAAACCTCCGAGGTTTGAGGGCACTGTTGAGCCCAGAGCAGCTGAGGATTTGTTAAGAAGGTTAGAAAAGACATTTAACGGTATGCAGTATCCTTCGGACAGGAAGGTACCGTTAGCTATTTTTCTGTTAGATGGTGTGGCTGAGCACTGGTGGATGGGCTAGCAGGAGGAAAAGTTCCAATGTTAATTGAACTCTCTGATTACTTGGGAAGAATTTTCTGAAGTATTTCGATTGTGGTTTGTATCTCCTTCTGCAAGACAGCAAATGCAGGAGACTTTTCTGAGGTTGGTTCAGGGGAGCAGGACAGTTATGCAGTACGATGCAGAGTTTACTGCTCTGGCACGATATGCTCTGCAGCTGGTGAGTACTTTTGCTGAGAAGTGCTATAAATTTCTGAGGGGACTACGAGATAGTCTGAGGCAGCCCCTGGTACTATTTCACATTTCTGATTTCTCTGAGCTTGTGGAGAGAGCTCGTCTGATAGAGAATGATCTGATGGCTACTCAGCAACAGTGGATTGCTAGT